GAGAGAGAAGAGCGAAATGGAAGAAATTATATGCGAAAGAAGATTCATCTGATAAGGAACCTGATTTCGATTTTCGAACTAGTGATGTTGAAGAATTACTTCAGTATGAGCGGGAACAACTTTCGAAAAAGAATCTGGAAACCTCAGTCGTTCAATTTATAAGAAATCGTGAGCTCGGCTTGAAAAAACCCCGCACAATTTCGTTGAATAGATTTCTCAAAACTCGAGACTTTTGGGCGAACTCAGTTAAAAAATGTGATACAAGTTTTTGTTTTGAATGTATATATGCGGAAGATCCTAATCACACTAAAGTAAAATGTTTCGGAAATAGACTTTGTGAACATCTTGAATTATGTAAAGGTATAGACAAATTCGAAGAAGATGTGCATGAGAATATGCTACGACATGACTTGGAAACGTTGAAGGTAAAAATATTTTTGCTAATGTGTAATAAATTTAAAACATTTACAATTATTATGTTTAATTTCAGAGTTTACGAGAGTACATGAATAGTCGACGAGAGGGACAGGAGCGGAAGTCCTTCAGCCCGACACATCGCCCCTAGTCTTCCAGGAGCGGCTTCACCCCTCCCCCCCGCACCACCAAATTATTTTTATTATTATTTTATTATTATATTATATTATATTATTATTAATTATAATTTAAGCACACACCACACACACACACACACACACACACACACACACACACACACACACACATTTTTAATAAATTTATATTTTATATTTTGATTTAAAACAAAAAATCTAATTATTTATGCACCTCTCCATGCGTCCTCATCCTTGCGTCTCTCTTGCGTCTCTTTCGCACTAATTTTAAGTATCGCTATCTCTATCATATCGTTAGTTGTAAGTCTCGCGATATTATCGTTCTCTCTTGCACGCGTCATCTTCGCGCTATCGTTCTCTCTCGCACGCGCTAGTTGTAAGTCTTCGCGCTATCGTTCTCTCTTTCATATGCGTTCTCTCTCACTCGCGTTGTTCTTGCGCTATTGTTCTCTCTCGCACGCGTTGTTATTCTCGATATTATCGTTCTCTCTCTCTCTCTTTCGCTTAGAATATACTCTTTGTTCACTTACCTTTGCGTCGTCCTTCTCCCACCTATACGTCGTCCTTGTCCCACGTTAACGCCATCCTTGTCGCACTCGTAGCACTGTCCTCTTCACACACTTTGCACTGTTCTTTTCCCATACGTTGCGCTGTCCTTCTCACACGCCGTTTTCTTTCCGCTGATCCCCCTTCACCGCGTGGATCCCCTCGTCCATCGGTCGCGCCGCGGATCCCCCTTCACTGCGCGAACCTCCTCACCCATCGCTCGCGCCGCGGATCCCCCTTCACCTCGCGGACCCCCTCGCCCATCGCTCGCACCGCGGATCCCCCTTCATCTCGCGGACCCCCTCGTCCATCGCTCGCGCCGTGGATCCCCCTTCACCTCGCGGACCCCCTCGTCCATCTCTCGCGCCGTGGATCCCCTTCACCTCGCGGACCCACTCGTCCATCGCTCGCGCCGTGGATCCCCCTTCCCCGCGGGTGACGTCACCCACGCGCGCCGCGGTTCCTCCTTCCCCGCGCGTGACGTCACTCCCCCCCGCACCGCGGTTCCCCTCGCGCCTCACCCCCCCTGAGAGGACCTGAGTTAGAACTCTCCTAGTATCACTACTTATATATATTTTTTTTAGATAACCAAATTTTTCTATGCACAATTTCACATTTAAAAAAAATATATATTGTTATCATATATATATATATGTATATATATATATATATATATATATATATAATACAGGGTGTCCCACCTAAAAGTGGCCACCCCCTTTTATCTTTTAAACTAAAAGAGATAGACCATAACAAATATATATGAAATTAAATGGCTTTAACTGAACTTTATTGTGAGTATAGTAGTTGATTACAAAATTTATCTGTATTAAAGAACAAAGAGATATGTATAATTTTTTTATAATAATATTTTATTTTTTTATATTAATATTTCATTTATAATAATATAGATATTTTGATATAATAAAAGTTATAGCGCTGTTTAAAACGAATATAACGATGTATGATTTAATGTAAATATTTTACATATTATACGAGATTTTCCGGCTTGAAATATCGCGGGCGACGTCCACCATTTTCGGCCCTGCGATATAGCCAACTTCTGACTGAGTATTATGATTAAATGACAACATGACATATGTCAACCTTTAATGCACGAGTCAGAAGTTGGCTATATCGCAGGGCCGAAAATGAAATGGTGGACGTCGCCCGCGATATTTCAAGCCGGAAAATCGTGTATAATATATAAAATATTTACATTAAATCATACATCGTTATATTCGTTTCAAACAGCGCTACAACTTTTATTATATCAAAATATCTACTTTATTTTAAAAAAATTATACATATCTCTCCGTTCTTTAATACAGATAAATTTTGTAATCAACCACTATACTCACAATAAAGTTCAGTTAAAGCCATTTAATTTCATATATATTTGTTATGGTCTATCTCTTTCAGTTTAAAAGATAAAAGGGGTTGGCCACTTCTAGGTGGGACACGCTGTATACAGGGTGAGCCATTTTAATTTGTCCACCCCAATAACTTTTTTATATTTGAATGTACAACAAAATGTTTCAAATAAAAGTTGCTTGACTTCGAGGGGGACAGAAGATGGGTGGAAAAAATTTGACCCTGGATAGTCATTTGAAGGTCACATAAAGGTTACCTTCAATTTCTTAAATGGAACCTCCTATTTTTCATTACATATTCTTGTAGTTTATCTCGAGAGTTTTCCAAAATACTATAATTAAGTACCTTTTCATTAAGTATGTTTTGAGTTATAAGGCTTAAAATAATTTCTTAATTTTACATAAACCATAAAATATCTAGTAAACCATTCATTTTTCGATTATCTTACCTTGATACTTTTATATACAAAATAATGAGAGGAATCAATTGGTGTAAAGAAAACATACAGTTGTTTTTAAGAAAAAATATGGAATTGTTAATTGCAAATTACATATTTTTTCTTAGAAACAACTACGTGTTTTCTTTACATCAATTGATTTCTCTCATTAGTTTGTACATAAAAGTATGAAGGTAAGATAATCGAAAAATGAATGGTTTAATAGATATTTTATGGTTTATGTAAAATTAAGAAATTATTTCAAACCTTATAACTCGAAAAGTACTTAATGAAAAGGTACTTAATTATAGTGTTTTGGAAAACTCTCGAGATAAGCTATTACAATGTGAAATGAAAAATAGGGGGTTCCATTTAAGAAATTGAAGGTAACCTTTATGTGACTTTCAAATAACTATCCAAGGTCAAATTTTTGCCACCCATCTTCTGTCCCCCTCGAAGTCAAGCAACTTTTATTTGAAACATTTTGTTGTACATTTAAATATAAAAAAGTTATTGGGGTGGATAAATTAAAATGGCTCATCCTGTATATATATATATATATATATATATATATATATATATATACACACACACACACACACATATACATATACATATGTAGGGACAATTGTCTCCTACTCCGCCCGTGTTACATACACACGCACATTTTCCACACATGTCCGAAATCCTACCACTTTCTAATTCCCGCATGCATGCATCCGCTTTCACCTCAATAGAATTTACAACCCTTGCATGTTTCGCAGCTGTCCTCCGAGTCTATAGATTTGAGAGCCATGTAACATTTGGCAAACACATGGTTTTTCCTTATGCAATTCATCCCTTGTAAAATTTCTCCTATTATAAAAAACCTTTCTCGGTTCATGCATGCGGAATCCAGATTTCCAGAGTGCAGTAACTTCCCGGCTTGCACAGAGTGCACATCACCCGATTGAACACGATACTACTGACTCGCTCGCGTACAGACACATCACGCTCACATCAGATATACTCATTTAACAATTGTATTATAAAAGAAACAAATACAGAATTATTATTTATTGCAACGTAGAGTCTTAGTTGTGACATACCCCACAAATTGGTGACCCCGACGTGATCTCTTTTTTTTTTCGCGAACCGTGAGTGATCTGCTCAGTGTATTGTAGTGCTTGTCCCTTTGGAATTTATATGGCTCACAACAACGGTAGTGGTGTCGCGAACCGCGAAACGGCGAACCCGTCACATTCGTCGTCGATCGATCGGGTATCAGTGAAAGTACCATCATTCATACCCGCGGACCCGGAGTTGTGGTTCAGGATGCTGGAGGGCGGTTTCGCAGCTGCAGGAATAACGCAGAGCAGCACCAAATATGGCTACGTAATCACAGCCCTCGATCAAAGGTACGCTCTGGAGGTCCGCGACATACTTATGAGGGAAGAACAATTGTACGAACTCTTAAAAACCGAGCTGATCAAGCGCCTTGGCTCTTCACGCGAGCAGAACACGCGTCGCCTGTTGGAGAACGAGCCTCTCGGAGATCGTAAACCGTCGCAGTTCCTCAGGCATCTTCGCGGTCTTGCCGGTAAGGAGTTCCCTGAGGACGTCTTGCAGACGCTCTGGCTGGGCCGTCTGCCTAGGCACGTCCAGGCCCTCCTCGCGGCGCATCGGGACCTCACGCTCGATAAGCGAGCCGATATCGCGGATTCCATCGCGGACTTGTACGGCCCGGCAGGTCTCATCGCCGAGACGTCAGCCCCCGCACCTCAGCCTGCCCGAGCACACGGTGACGATCTGATTCGTGTGATGGCGGAGATGGTACGGAGGCTCGCGGCGATCGAGGTTAATACCCAAGGAGCGCGTCAGCCAACTAGCGGATCCTGCGAAGCCTGCGGAAGATCGCGCTCACGCTCTCCGTCGCGCTCGCGTTTCCGGTCGCGCTCGCGATCACGGAGCCAGCGTCCTGATGCAGCTGGCGAGATATGCTGGTACCATTGGCAATACGGCGACAAGGCAAGAAAGTGCGAAAAGCCGTGCAAGTACAGTGACAGATCTCCGGAAAACGAGCAGGGCAGTCGCTAATGGCGGCCGACGACATCAGCCCCGCGATATCGCGCCGCCTCTTTGTCAGCGATCGATCCACCAAATTACAATTCTTGATTGATACGGGAGCCGACGTGTGCGTATTTCCACGCTCGCGCCTACCGGGACCTCGTACGAAATCAAGCTACGAGCTCTCCGCGGCTAACGACACAACAATCGCTACATACGGAACAGTAGCGCTAGCTCTGGACTTTGGACTGCGACGGCAATTCACCTGGAGGTTTGTCGTCGGCGCGGTCTCCAAGCCAATCATCGGTGCAGACTTCCTCGTGCACTACGGACTCTTGGTGGACATGAGGAACCAGCGGCTGTTGGACGCGACCACTCAACTCACCTCTCATGGAAGGGTGATTGAGTGTGACATTCCGAGTGTTAAGACCATTTCAGGCTCATCGCGGTATCACGAACTCCTCCACCAATTCCCGGAGGTGACACGACCGGACGGAACCCCCAAGGCCGTAAGTCACTCGACGAGACATTATATCACCACCACACCAGGGCCGCCTGTCGCACAGAAGCCACGTCGACTTTCAACAGAGAAGTTGAAGGCGGCGAAGAAGGAATTCGAGGCCATCGCTGCACCTGGGCATCGCTCGCCCGTCACAGAGCTCCTGGGCATCGCCCTTGCACATGGTGCCGAAAAAAGGCGATGACTGGCGTCCTTGCGGAGATTATCGCGCCCTTAATGCGAGAACCTGCCCGGACCGATATCCCGTGAGACACATCCAGGATTTCTCCCAGTCACTTCATGGGAAAGACGTCTTTTCCACCGTCGATCTGGTACGAGCCTTCAATCAGATTCCTGTCGCGGAGGAGGACATTTCTAAGACAGCCATCACGACGCCTTTCGGTCTCTTCGAATTTGAGTACATGACCTTCGGGTTGCGTAATGCCGCGCAGACTTTCCAGCGCTTCATTGACGAGGTGCTGCAAGGTCTGGAGTTCTGCTACGCATACATTGACGACATCCTCATCGCATCAACATCAGAAGCAGAACATCTAAAACACCTGAGGATTCTGTTCGAGCGGCTGAAGAAGTATGGAGTCGTCATCAACCCAGCTAAATGCGTATTCGGACAGCCCGAAGTCAAATTTCTCGGCTACCTTGTTTCCGGCGCAGGGACGCGCCCGTTACCGGAGAAGGTCGACGCCATACGGACCTATCCACGACCCGACACGGTGAAGAAATTACGTCAATTCTTGGGCATGTTGAATTTTTATCGAAGATTCTTGCCCAAGGCTGCAGAGACGCAAGCACCGCTTAACAACCTGCTGTCAGGCAATGTTAAAGGGAAGTCGCCAGTCAACTGGACGTCAACAACTATAGAGGCATTTGAAGCAAGCAAGGAATGCTTAGCCCAAGCAACCTTGCTGGCTCATCCCGAGCCCGACGCACCGCTCGCAATCTTCAGCGACGCGTCAGACTACGCAGTCGGAGCAGCCCTACAACAACGGATCGGAGACGCCTGGCAACCCCTTGAATTCTTTTCCAAGAAGCTAAGTCCTGCGGAAGCAAAATACGGAGCCTACGATCGGGAGTTACTTGCTGTTTACCTAGCAATCAAGCATTTCAGGCACACCGTGGAAGGACGATCATTCACAGTTTACACGGACCACAAACCTCTCGTCTATGCGTTCCACAAGAAGACGGCCCAATGTTCACCTCGACAATTCAGACACCTGGACTTCATCGGACAATTCACCACCGATATCCGCCATGTTTCCGGGGAGGACAACGTAGTAGCAGACGCTCTGTCGCGCGTAGAGGAAGTTGAGCATACGCTCGATTACGAAGCCTTGGCAGCAGCCCAACAACAAGACGAAGAGCTCCAGCGATATCTAGAGGAAGACTCCACCCTCTTAATAAAGAAGGTACGCATCCCCGGCACCGACGTTGCAGTATTTTGCGACGTCTCAACACAGACAGCGCGGCCCTTCGTTCCTCAGGAGTTCAGGAAAGTCGCATTCGATTCGCTGCGCCAGCTGTCCCACCCGGGAATCAACGCGACGGTCAAGCTCATAACCCAGCGCTACGTATGGCCGTCGATCAAAGCTGATTGCAGACAATGGGCCCGCAGCTGCATCCAATGCCAACGCGCCAAGATCTCTCGCCATGTCTCATCACCTGTCGGTACATTCGCACCACCTTCTGCCAGGTTCGAGCATATACATATTGATATCGTAATCATGCCACCGTCTGAGGGATACCGATACTGCCTAACTATGGTAGACCGATACTCTCGCTGGCCAGAAGCTGTTCCCCTGCAGGATCAAGAAGCTGCAACTGTCGCACGTGCTCTCTACGACGGATGGATATCTCGGTTCGGCACGCCGTTGAGAATAACCACGGATCAAGGCAGACAATTCGAGTCGTATTTTTTCAAGCAATTAAATCACTTGTTAGGTACGACTCACCTGAGAACAACCGCATACCACCCTTCAGCCAACGGCATGGTTGAACGGCTGCACCGTCAACTAAAAGCAGCAATCATGTGCCAACAACAATGCCGATGGACACAGAGCCTTCCCACCGTCTTGCTGGGCATCCGCTCAGCTTGGAAAGAGGACCTGCAAGCCACGGCAGCCGACATGGTCTACGGACAGTCGCTACGCCTCCCGGGCGAGTTCTTAGGATCTCTCCACCGCGAAAACGCAGCGGACAACGTGTCAGATTTCATCAAGGAGCTACGCCAACATCTGAGGGAATTGAGACCGACGAAGATATCTCGCCACGGTACGGGGAAGACATTCATTTTCAAGGACCTTGCTACCTCGGAGGAAGTCTTTGTACGCCATGATGGTCTCAAACAGCCTCTGCAACAGCCGTATGACGGCCCGTACAAAGTCATCAAAAGGGCAGAAAAGACGTTCGTGGTTCGTATGAACGGCCGGGACGTTACGGTTTCCACAACCGCCTTAAACCAGCGTACATCATGGCCAATGATCCAGTCGTCTCTCAGGATGGCAACAACGAGGAGGACGTTCCAGGCCCTTCCGAAAAGGGCACAGTAATTACAGACCTACCCGATACACAGAAACACACACATCTAAAATCAACACTAGAAAACTCGACCAAACACGTAACCAAGTCAGGTAGACGTGTCCGCTTTCCGGACCGGCTACAAGGAGGATTTTCGTAAATTCTTATATATCGTTAAACACTAGCAGGGGGGTACTGTAGGGACAATTGTCTCCTACTCCGCCCGTGTTACATACACACGCACATTTTCCACACATGTCCGAAATCCTACCAACTTTCTAATTCCCGCATGCATGCATCCGCTTTCACCTCAATAGAATTTACAACCCTTGCATGTTTCGCAGCCGTCCTCCGAGTCTATAGATTGCCATGTAACATTTGGCAAACACATGGTTTTTCCTTATGCAATTCATCCCTTGTAAAATTTCTCCCATTATAAAAAACCTTTCTCGGTTCATGCATGCGGAATCCAGATTTCCAGAGTGCAGTAACTTCCCGGCTTGCACAGAGTGCACATCACCCGATTGAACACGATACTACTGACTCGCTCGCGTACAGACACATCACGCTCACATCAGATATACTCATTTAACAATTGTATTATAAAAGAAACAAATACAGAATTATTATTTATTGCAACGTAGAGTCTTAGTTGTGACATACCCCACATATATATATATATATATATATATATATATATATATACAGGGTCTACCAAAAGTGTGGAAACCCCTAAATATCTCGGAAAATATACGTTTTACAGAAAAGTGTTTCCAACAAAAGTTGTAAGGTTTAAGAAGATCTATATACTGATTCTATCAGTTTGACCTTGGATGGCGTCGTCAAGGTCAGGTCAAGGTCACATTGACTTTTTTAAATGACACCCCCTACATTTGATTGCATATTCTTATAGCTTAATTCAAGAGCTTTCCAAAACACTATAATAATGTTCATTTTTATTAAGTACTTTGCGAGTTATGAGGGTTGAAATAATTTCTTAATTTTACATAAACCATAAAATATCTAGTAAACCATTCATTTTTCGATTATCTTACCTTCATACTTTTATGTACAAAATAATGAAAGGAATCAATTGGTGTAAAGAAAACATACAGTTGTTTTTAAGAAAAAATATGGAATTGTTAATTGCAAATTACATATTTTTTCTTAGAAACAACTATGTGTTTTCTTTACACCAATTGATTCCTCTCATTAATTTGTACATAAAAGTATGAAGGTAAGATAATCGAAAAATGAATGGTTTACTAGATATTTTATGGTTTATGTAAAATTAAGAAATTATTTCAACCCTCATAACTCGCAAAGTACTTAATAAAAATGAACATTATTATAGTGTTTTGGAAAGCTCTTGAATTAAGCTATAAGAATATGCAATCAAATGTAGGGGGTGTCATTTAAAAAAGTCAATGTGACCTTGACCTGACCTTGACGACGCCATCCAAGGTCAAACTGATAGAATCAGTATATAGATCTTCTTAAACCCTACAACTTTTGTTGGAAACACTTTTCTGTAAAACGTATATTTTCCGAGATATTTAGGGGTTTCCACACTTTTGGTAGACCCTGTATATATGTATATATATATAATCTTAATAATTTATTATAAATTTTGACCAAATATGCATAAAAACATAAATTTTATAAACTTAATGACAAATATTAAATCCAAAAAAATACAAACAGAATTGTTATTGAATAGAATTGTTATATATTTACAACATATATTATATTCTGCAGTTGTAAAAGTAATGAAAAAGTAATAAAAGAATAAAAAATAAATAAAAATAGGTAATAAATAAAATAAATTTAATAGAGTATATTATTTCATTTCATTCAAACAATTTTTTTTATTTTATTTAAAAGTATTTTGATTGTAAACATAATATTAAAATTTGCATACTTACCTTGATCAGTGTTTAACATGTTTCGTCTTCTTTTGTGGCATTTTATATGTGAATGATTCATTCCCTCACAATTTAATGTTTGTAACGGTCTTTTCCCTTTTATATTAATTTTTGTGTTATGTTCTATATTATGTAGTGTGTTTGATTTTGTTCTTAAATATGTATACTCATATTCTTCATCAAATATTGAATTATGTATGTTACCTTCTGCAAAATACAATTTATAATTAATATTTAAATACATATATCCATAAAAATCAAGATATTTAAAATTTTTGTTTTATATATATAAAATATTTTAATAATATATCTTTACAAGGTAATGTTTTTTGTATATATTCATTTAGATGAATTTAAATCGGAGGGTAGTATTTACACAAATTATGAAAGTTATATTTGAAAACGTATGTTTGAGGAAAGACCTACTATATGATTGTTATAAGAAAATTTTTTTGGTCAACTTGTTTGAATTTGTGATATGATATAACTCTATGTCTTTGATTAAAAGTATTCAAAATTTGAAAACGGTCAGTTTTTAAAAGTAAATAACTTCAATAAACTTAACATTGCTATATTATTAATATACAGGGTGTTTTATTTTAATCGCCTCAGGCAAATATCTCGAAAAATATGGAACTTATAAAAAAATGTTTCGGACAAAAGTTGTATGGTTTCAAGGGAGCCATAAGATAGTAACATTGGTTTGACCTTGAACAGTCATTTGAAGGTCACAAAAAGGTCACCTTAA